CGAGCGGGGCGGACAAGCGGGGAGCTGGGACACAGGGGGGGCCCGAGCTGCACGCTACGCGACTGGCCTCGGCCCGCCGCCCGGCGCGCTCCTCCGGTGCGCGGCCGCCTCTGGCGCCTGTGGGGGCGCTAGGAGAAGCCGGCTGACGAGAGGCGCCCCGCTGAAATCGACTAGACGTAAGAGTGACCTTTCGCCGGAGTGACCTTTGGTGCGGGCACAGATGGGTCCCCAGATGGCTGAAAACCAAGCAGGAGCAGAGGCTTGCGCGCCCAGGTTTGGTCCCCCCGCGGCCCCCAAAAAGCCGCGCACCAAAGGTCACTCTTACCCAGGGTCACTCTTGCGTGCAGTCGATGAAAAACCACCACCCTGGGGCCTGCCATTCACACGAAAGCCGCGGCTCGACATGGTGTTGTGCTGCATTCCTCTGGCGAGCAGTATGAGCTGCGACAGGGTGTGCTCATACACGTGAACGAGGTGTTCAGCGAGATCCCGCGCCATTCTCTGCAGCCGCTGCACAGGCGCACAATTATGGTCATGAACGTCGAGGCAGTCTTGAGCGCACAGACCATTTCGAATAAGAGCCGCACTCCCATCTAAGCAGCTGCTGCGGCTTCTTAGGTGCCTGGTCTCTCGGCGAGAGCTCCATTCTGAAAAGGAGCCGTCCTCCATCCCTCGAGCCGCTGCAAACGTTACGACGAATGCGCGTGGCGCTCAGGCGAGAAGCCCCATTGCGAAAAAGGCCTGCCCTCCGCCCTTGCAGCAGCTGCGGAGTCTCTGAGGACGCGTGCGCCGCGCGGCGCTCCGGGCGGGCGCCCCGTGTCGAGAAGGAGCCGCCCCTTCCATCCGTATTGCCTCCCAAAGCTTTGAGCACGAATGTGCGCGGGCTTGAGGCGAGGGCTCGCTTGTCCTCCTCCTCCTCCTCGTCCTCCACCTTTCCTCCTCCTCCTCATCCTTGTACGCACGTGTTGCGGCCTTGAAGCGCGATCGTGCGCGGTGCGGCGAGGGCTCCGGTTTCAAAAAAGGCCTCCCCTCCATCTCTGCGACCACTGCTTCCCTTGAACACGAGTGTGCGCCGTGTTAGGGCGAGAACCTCATTTCGAAAACAACCCCCCCGTCGTCGTCGTCGTCGTCGTCGTCGTCGTCGTCGTCGTCGTCGTCGTTTTCGTCGTCGTTTTCGTCGTTTTCGTCGTCGTGGTCGTCGTGGTCGTCGTCGTCGTCGTCGTCGTCGTCCTTTTCGTCATTGTCGTCGTCGTCGTCGTTTTCGTCGTTGTTGTCGTCGTGGTCGTCGTCCTCGTCCTCGTCCTCGTCCTCCTCTGACCCCAAATGCGGGCGCAGGGCGCGGGCCTGCGGGGCGCCCGTGGCGCCCGCAGGCTGCGCGCCTCGGCTGCCGGGGCGGGGCAGGTGGCGGCCTTCGTCCCCCACTTGGCGGGCCTCCCGGCAGTGCCATGACGATTCAGTGGAGGCCCATGCCAAGAATCATCCTGCTTGCCGCCAGGGTTGGCGGAACGAAGAAGGACATAAACATAAAAACTAGGAGGTCCGCGCGGGTTTCTCGGATCGGCGCTGGGGCCCCCCGGCGGCGCCTCCGGCGCCGCCCCCGGCGCGCTCCGCGCGCCGGGGAGGGGGGTCCAGCGCCGATCCGAGAAATCCGCGCGGACCTCCGAGTGTTGATGTTTATGCCACTTGTTGTTCCCCTAAGGGTGCCCAGGGTTTTGCGATGGAAAGCGCGACGTTCCCACACCACCAAAATCAATGGACGTCCTCAGGGTTTGGTTTCTCGTGGTGGTCGGGCCCCCTATTGTAGGTGCGGCTAACGTCACGGTTGAGGACCCCGAGTGGTGAGGAGGCCTCTGGCGAAGCGCTCGACCCGCCCTAACTGCCAGCACGTCCGGGGGTGCGGGGCGGCAGGGAGGAGCCATCCAGAAGGACAAGGCTAGAGGAGGAGAAGGTGGAGGAGAAGGGAGGGGGACGAGGAGGAGGAGGAGGGAGGAGGAGGGAGGGGGAGGAAGGAGGAAGGAAGAAGGAGGAGGAGGGAGAACGGCATGCAGGCAGCGCTCCGAGAAGAGTCCGAGGTCGATCGAACTACGGAGGAACTCGAGAAGCTCTCCTCACATCTGTGAGTTCGGCACCGCTCCAGACGCGGGCCACCAGCGGCAATTCCTGTCGAGAGTTGTCAGCACACGGTCCAGGACACCAAGTCGAGGGAGAAAGGAGAAGGAGGAGGAGGAGGAAAAGCAGGAGGAGGAGGAGGAGGAGGAGGAGGAGTAGGAGGAGGAGCTGATTCTTTTCCTTTCCCCGCCCGCTCGCTTCCCCCTCCTCCCTCAGGCTCCGCACGAACCGGTCGCAGGGCTCGGGGGCGCCCGTGTGCAGCCCCGCCCGCAGCGTCCGCTCGCGGGCCACGCCGGGGGGGGGGGGGGGGGGGGGGGGGTCCTCGTCTTCCTGCTCCTCCTCCTCCTCTTCTCCTCTTGCGTCCCTCGTCATCCCTCGTCGCACCCCAAGGGCGCCAAGACACCCCTTGAGGCCTTTGTGCTGTGTGCACGTCGCGCGAGTGGTTCGCATCGGCTGCCCGAGGCAGCTGGGCCCTTGTCGGATCTCCCCTGCTTTCGCTTCCCATCTCTTCGCGTCATGCTTCCTCCCAGGCATTTTGTAGTGCTGCTCATGTGTATGTATGTGTATGGATAAATAGAGAGAGGCCTCTATCGATACACATATTTATGTATACACATGTATGAGAGTGCAACGTTTTCCTTTTGATCACTGCCCCCCAAACTCCTTCATCGTAGCTGGGCGGCCAGGAGCTCCCAACGCATCGAGGCGCCACTTCGGCCCACCCAGGCGGCAATTTTGACACTGGTACGCGTGAGAGATATTGTGGAGTCTTGCTTCACAGGGTTGCTGCGGCTGTGCTGGACAGAGACAGTTCGGACATCCCCCTGAATATCTGCAGCTTTTTGTAGGGGCGACCCCCTGATGCCGAGACATGTTTTGGGTGATGTGTACACCATCTGATACACAATGATACCCCTCGCATGCTTCAAGAGGCTGGAGTAGCTTCACTCACCCACATTATCACCAGGCTTTCCCAAGCATGAACTGGCAGAGGGGGCTGCCAAGCCATGCGGCGGACGCATGTCGGCCATCATTTCAGGTGCAATCGGGGAGTACGCTGTAGCACTCCATACAAGGTGGGGCTTGCCAACCTTCACAAGCACCGACTTGCAATGGTGAGTTAAGGGCATCAGCGCTACGCTTCCGTCCTCCTCCTCCTCCTCCTCCTTCTCCTCCTCCCCCTCCTCCTCCTCCTCCTCCTCCTCCTCCTCCTCCTCCTCCTCCTCCTCCTCCTCCTCCTCCTCTCCCCTCCTCCCTCCCCCTCCTCCTCCCTCCTCCTCATCATCACCCCCTCGACAGGGGGCCCGACGCGGGCCAACCTTCGAGGCCCACGGCCCTCGGCGAGGCCCGCCGCGCCCCGCCCCTCGATCGGGCCCCCGGGGCCGGGGGCGCAGCCTCCTCGCGGGGGGACGCCCTGGCAGCGGAGGCTTCGGCAGCGGTCGGGGCGCGCGCGCGCGCCCGCGGCAAGACGGCGGGGGCGAGGGGCAGGCGGGAGGAGGAGGAGGAGGAGGAGGAGGAGGAGGAGGAGGAGGAGGAGGAGGAGGAGGGGGGGGGGGGCGGAAGGAGGGGGCGCGGGCCCTCTCAGACTCCCAGGGAACGGGGGGTGGGGCTCCCTGTCCTCCTCCTTGGCCTCCTCCTCCTCCTCCCCCTCCGCCGCCTCCTGTCCTCCTCCTCTTCCTCCTCATCCTCCTCCTCATCCTCCTTCTCCTCCTCGTCCTCCTCCTCCATCCTCCCTTCCCCTGTAAATACTTATCCCATCTGGTCTTCCTTGTTAATACTTATCCCATCTATCCCATCCCTTTCCTCATAAATACTTATCTCCATTGATTGCACCAGCTATGATCCCGAAATCTGTCATAAGCAACAGCTTCAAGGATTGAGAGGGCGGCTCCTTCCCAGAATGCGTCGTTCGCTCAGCGTCGCGCACATTCGTCCTAAGCGTGTGTAAAGGCTTCGAGGGCGGATGGCGGCGCCTTGTCAAATGTGGCTCTCGCCCTACCGCCGCGCAGGTTTTGAAGACTCCGTGGTTGAAGTCCGAGGTTGGAGTCTCAGGAGTTGTTTTCTGGCACGATGGAGTGTTGCCAGTGCGCACCAGTCACGTTGATTCGCGGTGTTGAAGTCCCAGGCGTGGTGTTCTGGCACGACTTCTTGAATGTTGAAGACGCAGCAGTCACGCTTACTCGCGGCGTTGAAGTCCCAGGAATTGCGGTTTCGTGCGATTGAGGATCATTTGAAGGTTGTCTTTCAATGAGAGACTTCCCGCAATGAAAAAGAGTTCTTGCATGGAAATATGAAAGCAGAATCTGGAGGGAGGGTTCATTACAACAAAGTTGATGCGCCTTGGGTTTACGCTGGTGTTCCTCCTCCTCCTCCTCCCCCTCCTCCTCCTCCTCCTCCTCCTCCTCCTCCTCATCGTAGCTCGTAGCTGGTGGCGGTGGGTCCGTTCAAGCTGCCATGCCTCCCCCCGGGCCCCCCCAGGGTCGGTCGACCCTGGGGGGATTAAATCCAAGCTGCAGAAATATAAGTAAACAGGGAAGCGACCGTAGAGTAGATGATTCCGCGGGGCAACATTGGGTGCCGCTAGCGTGGCTCCGCGGCCAACCCGCCAGGGCCTCTCCCCATTTGGACATAGGGAACCCCACTGAATGATCCCCTCATCCTCCTCCTCCTCCTCCTCCTCCTCCTCCTCTTCCTCCTCCTCCTCGTCCTCCTCCTCCTCCCCCTCCTCATCGTCGTCCTCCTCCTCCTGCTCCTCCTCCTCCTCCTCCTCTTCCTCCTCCTCCTCGTCCTCCTCCTCCTCGTCCTCCTCATCGTCGTCCTCCTCCTCCTGCTCCTCCTCCTCCTCCTCCTCCTCCTCCTGCTACCCGCGCTGGGCTGCCGGGGGCGCGGAGGCCGCCACCGGAGCGCCGTCGCTGCAGTGCGACCTGGACTTCGGGCGGCTTGCCGAGCTGGCCGCCCCAGCGCCCGCCAGCCGCCGCTCTGCCGCTCCCGCACCCCGCCGCCCTCTCCTCCAGGAGCCGCTTCCATGACCTCCTCCTTCTCCTCCTTCTCCTGTTCCTCCTTCTCCTCCTCCTCCTTCTCCTCTTACACTCCTCCTCATCCTCCTCGCTCCTCCTACTCCTTCTTCTCCTCCTACTGCACCTCCTCCCTCTCCTCCTCCTGCTCATCCTCCTCCTGCTCCTCCTCCTCGTCGTCCTCCTCCTCCTCGTCCTCCTCCTCCTCCTCCTTCTTCTCCTCCTCCTGCCCTCTTCCCCAACTCAAGCAACTTGGGCTCGAGCACCATTTTGGCCGCTCGATCGCCTACCCGCGGTACCTGCCCGAGGTGCTTGAGGCACACCGCTACTGTTGGCACACCCGTGCCAGCTCAGAGCGGTGACCAAATCCGCGGATTCCATGTCGGTCAGACACTGGTCATGTTGCAAGGGCTGTGGACAGAACGAATACAATGATAGGCTCGAGCAGAGAGACATGAAGTGTGGTCGATGTGGACGCAAAGTCAAACCATATGTACCATCCCCGAAGAAGAGCATCCTGAAGAGGGTATCCTTCGACGACGGCGCCAGTGGAGGTGGAGGCAGCGCTGCATCCACGCCCAGGAGCTCACCGAGGGGTAAAAGCAGTGGCGTAGAGGATGACGTCATCAGTCACCTTCGTTCGGCATTGAAGGCAGCAAAGGACCCTCACATGCGGCAGCGTCTTGAGCAACAGATCAAGGAAACTCAAGAGACCAGCAGCCACAGTTCCACAGGGTCAGTTCTGCAGGCACTTCAACGTGCCGATGGTGCTCTTCGTGATGTCAACAACCGACATGATCAATCGGTCCAAGCAGTCGCTCGTCTCCAGAAGAACCTAGCGGCGGCGCAGGCCAAGGAGCAGAAGCTCGCGATCGAGGTGGCGGAGGCCGAGGCTGTGCGCAAGCAGGCTGCGGCCGTGCTGGCGTCCCAGGAGGGAATCGCCAGCGGGCGCCCAGAGGCAGCCCAGCCGCAGCAGGAGAGCCAGAAGAAGCCCTTCGGATTGCATTGGGATGAGCAGCTATTTCGAGACATCGAGAACCTCGATTGCGAGCAGAGCGAGAAAGATGAGTTGTTAAAGATTCGCCAGGAACTTGCCGACACGCAGAAGACGTTGGAAGGGAAAGCGGATCAAGTCGCTTCGTGGGTCGAGAAGGCCAAGAAGATGCAGGCTGACATCCAGGAGCGGATCAAGAAGAAGAGGAAGCCAGACGGGGACTCACCCGCGGCCGCCGCCACAGCTGGCGAGAGCAGCGCCGCGGGCAGTGCCACGGAGGCTCCTCCACAGGGCGCGGCGCCCTCGGCGCAGCATGACGCAGCCGCCGAGGAGCGCGCGGCCCGCATCCAGGCTGAGGCCGAGCGGATCTCGCAGGCTAAGTTCGCCGCGATGCAGCAAAAGGAGCGTGAGCAGCAGAAGCAGATGCAAGGGGACACCGCCTCCTCTTGACTATCTGTGGAATCGGCAGATTCGAGTACCTCACGCAGTACATCATCGTCATCGAAGGAGGTTTCGTCGTCGAAGCCGTATTGCTCGCGCTCACGGCCAGGGGAGAATGACTTCACTCACATCTTGCATGGCAACATCACCGCCATGGGGGAGAAGGTGTGGCAGTTCATTCAGGAGGCATGTGAGCACCGCGCTTTTGATTTCTTTTGTCTTGCCGAGACTCATGTCTCCAGTACTTCCTTGTCTAGAGATTGGTTGCCCAAAGCTCGCAAGGCTAAACCCAGAGTCTTCGCCAACCCAGCAAGACTCACTGGTCGCGCCTGCACAGCCCAGGGCGCCGAGCGAGCCACTGAGGGCGGGGAGTGGGTCCTGGCGTCGGGACATCTTCAGGCCCACTCAATGATGCCTCAGCTTGCTCTTGCTGATTTTCAGGCCGACGGACAGGCCGCGACAGACGGATTTTGTGCCGCACTTGTACACATGTCTGGATACTCGTACGTACTTGTCACATTTTATGGGCTCACGGCAGTGGGCCTCACAGGCGACAATGTGCAGAGATTTAATCGCTTAGGCGCCTTTTTATCGTCACTGCAGCTCCCGTGGGTTGCCGTTGGCGATTACAATGTGCCTTCGGATGTCCTGCAATCATCTGACTTTCTCACTCGTGTAGGCGGTGTGGTAGTCAAGGCGCCTGTGGAATACACGTGCGACGCGGGCAGAGAAGGCAGCCACATTGATTACATTGTCAGGTCTCACTCAGCTGTGGCTTACCTTGCCCGCGTTGAAGCTATGATGGCGGTGCCGTGGAAAACACACTGCGGCCTCCGTATCACCATGCGCTCATCAGGCAAGCAACTTATCACGAGGTGCTTGTCGCTACCTGCACGATTGCCCCAGGTCGCAAGACCCAGTCAGGCGCCCATCCTAGGATCCAAGACCCAAGTTCAGAAGCAACAGCGGTCGGTCCGAATGCAAGCTGCCAAGGTCAAGCGTCAGGAGCGCTACGACGGGCTTTTTGGCGACCTTTGGCCAGAGCACACTGACGCCTCGGCAGCTGCTAATATTTCTGCAGATGCGGAGCCCGACCGCGAGCCAGACTTGGGACCCGAGGACTTCGAGCAGTTTGAAGAAGATCCTTGGGCGTCGGAGCTCAATTTCTGTCCTGACCGCGAGCTGGGTGCAAAGGTTCCCTCATCCACTCCTGACGGCCTCTCGGGGTCCTCAGGTTGTGGGTCTGGGACTGTTGGACCTGGAGTGGGGCCCGAGATCGGCGTGCCTGTCGAATGTGTCTTTTCTCCCCAGCAGCAGGTTAGTCAACAGATCGACGAGCGCCCGTGGGTATGGAACCCAGGGGCGCCGCATGTATTCACGTTACCTCAGTACACGCCGTCCATCACTTGGGGCCTTGTCACTCCTGATGCACATGATTCGTCTGTTGGAGAGCCAGTCGGTGAATTTATTCCCCCACTCCCCAGCGTGTTTCAAGAGCCGCCCCCCCCAAGTCAGGAAGTGAGCCCAGTGTCATTCGCTATCCCAGCCGAGACCTGGATCCAAGAGAGATCCGAAGTCGGGCTGTTCCCTTCTAGTGTTTGCACTCCCATGCTGCCTTTGCTTCTTCCGTAGCCGCTAGGCTTGAGCATGGTTCAATCCAGGATGTCTCGGCGTTGTATGCGTCTTGGGTCACCGCGCTCGAACGGACGATCTATGTGCATCATGGAGTGGAAGGGCCCCCATCTTTGGGGCGAGCTCGTGGGTATCGCTTTGTGGTTCAGGAAGTGCGTTTACCAGCCAAGAGTCGGACGGTTCCGTATCGCGATCGACTCACATCCTGGTGGGAAAAGACACACACGGTTCTTCAAAGATTGTACAATCATCGAGCTCGCGCCAACGGTATCATTCAGCAGAAGCAGCTTGAGCAAGCATGTAAACATTTAGGGGACCAGGCTCCTGACGATGGCCATCGGGGACTTCGGGTTGGTTCAGACCCATCCTGGGAGGTTTGGAAACAACTGTTGAAGTCCAGTGCACGTCTGGTCACCCAGGACAAGCTGCAACTGTTGGTAGGAGCCGCAAAGAAGATTGCTGCGAGGTGCCGCGCGCGTGCGCTACGGGCTTCGCTAGCTGAGTTTAAAGAATGGATGGCAGTTCCCACGGCAGCAGGCGTTTTGCATAAAGCTATGAGGCAGGACCCTGTACCTTCGGAGGAAATCATCCAAGGGGCTACTGTGGTGTTTCAACCTCGGGATGTTGTGGACCTGCGGGCCAAACCATTTCGGGGCCTCTGGGCGAAATCAGCCTCAGCTGAAACAGATGCGAGGATCATTCACGCTTTCGCAGTGGCACGCGAAGCGGCTCGTGACGAACCGCTGGATGTGCTTTCAGTTTGCGAGATTCGACAAGCGGCTCACGCCATGAAGGCACGAGCTGGACAAGGCGTGGATGTTTTAAGTCCTACCGATATCGAAAGGATGCCCGATATTGCGCTGACTGAACTTTCCCAACTATATGCCGTTATCGAAGAGACACTTGTTTGGCCAGCACAACTTGGGCTCACTATTGGGCGGCTTTTACCGAAGAAAGTTTCAGGGGATCGGGTCATCGGGCTCCTTTCGATGATAGCACGAATATGGAGTCTAGCCAGAGGGCCACATGTTAAGACTTGGGTCACTGAATCCGAGCCCATGTGGGATGCAGCTATTCAGGGCAACGCCGCCCTGCGGGAAGCCTTTTTGCGAGTTTGCGAGGAGGAAGTATCTGGGGCTCTTGGCACCCCTACGGGCCATGGTCTTCTGGATATTCAGGGATTTTACGATTCCATGGGATGGTTTCTGCTTATACCAACGGCTCTAAGGTTGGGGTACCCACCAGTAATTCTATATCTAGAGTTATTGCAGTGTATCATGCCACGGTCGTTGGGACAAAGCGGGGCCTACGCCGAACCTGTACTACCTACTCATTCCATTGTGCAAGGCCTCCGTGGAGGCACTCGTTTTGCCAGATGTTTGACGTATTTCATTCTTTCTCGTGTCACGGTTGCTCACCCAGCTATGGGCACTAGAATTTCGGTCGACGATTTGTCCCAACGGGTACGAGGCTCACGGCGTGCGATCAGACTTTCGCTCGTCCAAGGCCTCTTGGACACATGCCGTGCTCTCACCAGTGAATGCCTCGCAGTCTCACCCAAGAGCGTGGTGCTATGCACCCATCTGGGTGATGCGCAGTTCGTTTCTGAGCAGCTTCGGAAGGCAGGTTTTCACGTCAAGCCGTGCACTCGGGCAGGTTATTTGGGCGTGGACTTGAGTGGGGGCAAACGACATGTACGACAGCAAAGGGTCAAACGTGTTCAAAAAGCCGTCACCATGCACAACAAAGTAGTTCGATATGCACGTGCTGGCAAAAGATATCATATTACTAGTGAACTTACGCGAGCTGGCACTATGGCAGCGGGACTATATGGGCACGAGCTGCACGGAGTATTCGGCACTCATCTCACGAGAACTCGGCGCCAGATGGGGCATGCCTGCGGATCAGGGAAGAGGGGACGATGTTTAACCACGTTACTCGACTTACGCAGTCCAGGAGGAGATCCAGGATACACACTTCCCAAGGCATGTCTCCGTCTGTGGCTGCAGCAGTTTTTGACCTTGCCAACAATACGGCAGGGCATTATGCTTGCATGGCCGAAGATCTTGCAGCGCATGAAGGAAGCTCCAGCAGGGCAACGTTCACGGCTGGTCCGCGGTCCCACTGGAGCTGTTATTCTACATCTTCTGGAGGCTGGGTGGAATCCTGAATTACCTTGGCTTTGGAGGGCTCCAGAGGACCACGAAGGGGACCTGGAGATGTGGAGATTTCCCCCTTCTGAGCTTTCTGGAAACATCTTGGAAGACGACCCTGAGCCCCTGCTGGAGGACTTTGGAGCTACTATTCAAGCCAAGTTGTGGCGCGAGGCCGCCCGCCATTTTTGCGGCGAAGGAATGCAGTTTGGAGTTGATAATATGTCGCTGCGGAGACTCATTCAGCAGCTTCAGTCCGTGCGGCAGGGCAGGCGATTGGCCGAGATGATGGTTTCGATTGCTACGGGAGGGTCTTGGCCGCGTCAGAGGCAGCAAGACGAAATCGCGGGTGAGCATGAGGTTTCGTGTCCCAGGTGTTCCGCTGGGCCCGAAACTCAGTTTCACAGGTGTTGGGGGTGTGCTGAAAATCGAGGGGCCCAGGCCTATGACGACTCAGAGCATCTCGTTTGCGCTGCATACGCACAACATGAAGCCGAGCCCTGTTTTTGGCTGCGAGGGATAATCCCAGCCAGGTGGGCTGCAGCACCTCCGCCAACCATGGAGGAGACGTGGCATCTGGTCGGCACCAGCGCGACAGAACCACCTGGATGTCTGGGGGATGGCACTGAGGCGCAACCCCTGATTGTCTTTGGAGATGCTTCAGGAGGCAAGGATTCAGGAGATCCCAGGTTCATGAGGGTTGGTATTGCAATCACGGTGCTGGAGGCTTTTTCTCCGTGCGTCATTCGCGCTTCCGTCCAGGGCCCTCTTGCGGGACGTGTGCAGTCTGTCCCCAGAGGGGAAGTCAGAGCTTTTCTTTTGGCCTTGGAGTGTACTAAGGACCATCTGGTGTATGTGACCGACTGTGAAGCGGTCACAAAAGGATTTCATGAGCAGATGCACGCACGGCCCCATGGGGCCAACAAAGATCTCTGGAATGCCATCGGAGGACAGCTCAAACGTCGGAGGGGGCAGGTCTCTGTATTGTTCGTCAACTCTCACCTCACAGGCGAGCAGATCGTTGATGCAGGCATCCCGTCCTGGTTGGCTGTCGGCAATCACTGTGTAGACGAATTGGCCGCGCAGGCGGCACAAGCATGCAGATTGCCCGACGAGGTTCGGGCTTCCATCATGACCATCGAGCGCGCGGCGTGGCTCGTCAGGCACCGCCTCCTGAGGGCCAGCTTGGACACGCTGCAGGCCGAGGAACGTGGTGGAGCGCCCCCGAGGGTGAAGGGCCCTCCTCCTCCCCCTCCTCCTGCCCCCTCGGTCGTCCGTGCTTTCGTGTCGGAACATAGCCTTGACGAGTGTGGGCGCAGGTGTCTCAGATGTTTCGGGTCTGCCTCGAGAGCAAAATGGTCTGAGTGGCTCACCTCGCCCTGTTTCGTGCCAGATGTTGTTTCTGATAAGTTCAGAGGCCTTCCGATGGGGGGGCGGCTCCACGTAGCTGGGGGGTGGGTTGACACGTCGCACAGTTTGAGACTGTCGAATGCTCAGAAAGTTTGGTTTTGTTCTGGGTGTGGCCACTTCGCTCATCAGCAGTTGAGAGAGTTGGCCAAACCCTGTTGCAGGCACGTAGCTCCTCATATGAAGGAGTACCTTTCCAGACTAGAAGTCGGCAAGTGGCCTAAGGTGCTTAGTCAGGCTGAGCAGCGCTGTCGCTTGTAATCCGTTCGTTTCGACCACTTCGTGGGATAGCTCGCAACTCGCAACTCCTGCCCTCTTCCCTCTCCTCCTCCTCCTGCTCCTCTTGCTCCTCCTGCTCCTCCTCCTCCTGCTCCTCATCCTTCCCCTCTCCCTCCCTCTCCCTCCTCCCAGGGAGGGCAACGTTAGAGGCGATATGTCCAGGAGGCATGCAGTTTCGAGGTTTGAGGTTTTTGGGCGTTTGCGAGCGTCGCGTTCTGGTCCCGTTTTGTTTCCTTGGATCGCGGCCATGACGACGCCACGGCTTACGCCAGCCAGCGCTGGTCCAGCGAAACTGCTAGCAAAACACCCGAATATGGGCAAAGGGAAAGCGGCGGGCCGAGGAGTAGTAGGAAGTCGGCCATAGGGGAGCGGGGTGAGAGCACGGCACTGTGCACCGTAGGTGTATTGTTGACCAGGGTTCGGCCGCCTGAGGCCCCGCCCGCCCGCGCCCTGTCTCCCCAATTAGTGTTTCGCGCGCCCCGCCTAGCTCTTAACCGGAAGAGGCCCGCTCTCGACGCGCCGACTTAGAAAAGTGCATTGTTGACCAGGGGCCCTGGCCTCCCACACCCAACGTGCAGCCCGCGCTGAGGCGAGAGCACGATCCCTGAAGATGCCAAGAGGACATCTCAGGTGAAGCGGCTGCCACAGACCACGCGTCCACGGGCTCCCCGTCCCCCCCCCCCTTGTGGGACGCTTCTTGTAAACCTTTTTGCGCAGCAGGCATAGAACTCTCGCCAGCGAAACGCTATCAGGGATAAAAAACGAGGATTATCTGGGATTCTGGGTTGGCCTCGCGCGCGCCCCGGAAGGGCGCGAGGTCCAGGAGGAGAGAAAGCGGCAACCACCGACACGGCGGCGACGACAAACGGCGATGGCGAGGGCCAGGACGGCTTGACGAACGAGCATAGCGACAACAGACGACGACGGCGACGGCAGAGACGTGACGAACGACAAGGACCGCCTACCCGCAATCGCGGGTGGCCAGAGGATGGAGAGGAGGAGATGGAGGAGGAGGAGGAGGAGGAGGAGGAGGAGGAGGAGGGGGAGGAGGCGCAAGAGGAAGAGGAGGAGGAGGAGGAGGAGGAGGATGGACGAGGTTGACGCTACGAGCTTTTCCTGCACGGCTTGCCTAAGAGAACGGAGGAGGAGGAGGAACATCAGGAAGAGGAGGATCAGGAGGAGGAGGTAGATCAGGAGGAGCAGGAGAGGGGTCAGGAGGAGGAGGAGGATCAGGATGAGGCGGTGGAGAGGGCGGCCTCTCTGGGGGTGGCGGGGGCCCGCGGGAGGTCGCAGGCGGCGCCGGCGCGGGCGGCGTTGGCGCGGGGGGCGTGGCTCCGCCGCTGGGAGCGGTGCTCCGCGCTCTGCTGCAGAGGCGGGGCCGGTCGTCGTCGTCGTCGTCGTCGTCGCTCGTGGCCGTCGTGGTCGTGGTCGTGGTCGTGGTCGTGGTCGTCGTCGTCGTCGTCGTCGTCGTCGTCGTCGTCGTCCTCGTCGTCGTCGTCGTCGTCGTCGTCGTCGTCGTCGTCGACGTGGTCGCGATCCTGATCGTCGTCGTCGTCGTCGTCGTCGTCGGCGTTCGCCATCATCGTCGTTGTCGTCGTCGTCGTCGTCGTCGTCGCTCGTCTTCGCCGTCGCTCGTGGGCGCCGTCGCCGTCGCTCGCGGCGGCCGCTCGATCCACGGGCGGCGAGCACGCGGCCAGGTGCCCTTTGCGGCGTAGAGAGAGAGAGAGAGAGAGAGCCCTCTCTCGGTCCGGGGCCGCCGGGCCCCGGCAAGCCGCTCGAGCGGCGGAGGCGCGGACCTTCGAGGCGAAGGTCAGGAGGAAAAGAAACACACAGACACAATTGAATCCTCGATTCCCAAGAAAACATTGGAAAATATGGGAAGCGGGGGGGAAGACAGAAACCCAGAAAAGATAGGAAAATATTTGGAATCTTTCTATTTGTGTGTATTTATTTGTGTGTCTCAGGGCCCCTTCAGAAGTGGAAGCACGGAGGCTCCGAAGGCGGGCACAGGCTGGCAAACCCGTGGCTGCTAGAACAGAGCTCCGGGAAATTGTGCTTTCTTTCGGGAAGCGGCCCGTGTACTAAAGCGGTCTTGTTCCCATTCGGGGGACAAAAAGTGACATAGACATAAAACTCGGAGGTCCGCACGGATTTCTCGGACCGGCGCTGGGGCCCCCCGGCGCGCTCCGCGCGCCAGGGAGAGGGGTTCAGCGGCCTGTCCCCCTACATGGGGATTTTTCGACGAAAAATGAAAAATAGTCTGGGGACTATTTTGTGAGTATGTTTGACCTTTTTGGTGTATTTTTAGTGTATTTGTGATTTTTCGCCGAAAATCCCCCTGTAGGGGGACACGCCCGACATAAGGCAAACCCGTGGCTGCTAAAACGAAGCTCCAAGAAATTGTTTCTTTCTTTCGGGCAGCGGCCCGTGTATTGCTCATAGGGGGGCAAGAAGTGACATAAACATACAAACTCGGATCTGCGCGCGGATTTCTCGGATCGGCGCTGGGGCCCCCCAGCGGCGCCTCCAGCGCCGCCCCTGGCGCGCTCCGCGCGCCAGGGAGGGGGGGTCCAGCGGCTGTCCACCGCCGATCCGAGAAATCCGCGCGGACCTCCGAGTTTTTATGTTTATGTCACTTGTTGTTCCCCTAATTTAGTGCATTGAGCTTGATTTCGGGCATTTGTTGATGTTTCTTCCGGGATGACCGTTTTGGCAGCCACGGGTTTGCCAGCCCTCGCCCAGCTTCCAAGAAGCAGGCGTGGCGGGAGGCGGAGGCGGCGCTGAGATTTTCCCATTTTATGTCCAGTACGTTTTCGTTGCGTTTTGGTGGTGGAAGGATACGACGGGAGCTGTTTGTTTCTCTCTGCCTCTAAGGGCCCTCGCCAGGCCCCGGGACCGTCAAAAAACGACTCAGCATGACAAGCAAGTCCCGAGTAAGAGTCGAGACTTCTGGGGGTCGTCGTCGCTCGCGGTCGCTGTCGTCGCTTGTGGTCGTGGTGGTGGTGGTGGTGGTGGTGGTGGTGGTCGTCGTCGTCGCCGTCGCAGTCGCAGTCGCAGTCGCCGCCGCCACCCTCGTCGTAGTCGTCGTCGTCGTCGTCGTCGTCGTCGTCGTCGTCGTCCCGCCGTCGTCGTCGTCGTCGTCGTCGTCGTCGTCCTCGTCGTCGTCACCTTCGTCGTCGTCGTCGTCGTCGTCCTCAATCGTCGTTTGTTGTCGTCGTCGCCGCCGCCGCCGCCGTCTTCGTCGTCGTCGTCGTCATCGTCGGCGTTCGAAGTTGTCGGACGCTCTTTTGGGTTGTCGGTGGTTTTCCAGACTGCGCCACGCCGAGATCGTCCCGAACGGCCACTGGAGACCCGAGTTATGGCATGAAGACCGCAATGGTCGTCGTCGTCCCCTGTATCGACCTTGTCCGTCGCCGCCGCCGCCGCCATGGTCGCCGCCGTCGTCGAAGATGACAGGAGGTAGGGGGAAGACATGGGGGACCAGGACGTTCCTGAAGGTTTCCAGAGGGGCTCCCGAAGCACCAGCGAAAGAACACACTCAATCCTCGAGCCTCTAACTTTCGAAGGTCCGCAGCGGATTTCTTGGATCTGCGCTGGAGCCCCCTGGCGGTGCCTCCCGCGCCGCCCATGGCGCGCTCCGCGCGCCAGCGAGGGGGGTCCAGCGCAGACCTGCGAAACCCACGTGGTCCTCCGAAAGCATACGTTCATGCGCTTTTTCCCCCTGAGCAGACAGTTGGAGCAGATGGGGTCGGAGGATCGCGCCGCATCGCCGTAGCCCGATTCTCTCCACCCCGGCGTGGCCACTGCATCGGCGATGCGGTGCGATCCTCCAGCCTCATCTCCTCAGTCTCAAGTTGGGTTGCCTCCAGGTTCGAGGGCAGAAGATCCAGGCTTCGGGTCATCGCTGGCGTCATTCGAGGATCTCAGGGCCTGGGCCCCAGGACGACCATCGTGTCTGAGCTCCTTCGGCTGCCCACTCTGCGGCCGCAAGGTCTCCAACACAGAGCATGCTCAGAAGGGAACCCTGGGGCTCCAGATGAAGAGGTCAGCGGATCCACGTTTCGGGCCATTCTGGGGTGTCCCGTGGCCTTCGGAGACCTCCAGAGGCTTGGGGAAATCTGCTGGAGGGTCTCCTCATCACATCCTTCCTGGTCTCCACTCCGCTCCTCTTATCCTCCCTTGCACTCTCTCATAATGCTGGCCAAGCCTGTCTTGTGTCTGACGTGGTGAGATCAGTGGGGATAAGAGAAGCGATCAACCGTGAAATGTGATATCCTGTTTTCTTTGTTCGCCTTCGCTCTGCTTCTCTTCCAGCCGGTATCGCTTACGTAACCGATCCACACCCCCCACCAGGGCATGGTAACTAAGGCCCACCATCCCACCACCCCAGTTGGGGACAGGTCCCTCGAATCCCGAAGGGAACAACCAGCCGGTATCCCCATACCCAGGGGCTTAAATCGGCTAGTGGGTCCCAGGCCACGCCAGCGGGGATAGGGATCGGTCAATCGATGCTCCACGTGTTATCCTGTGTGCTCTGTTCGTCCCTGCTCTGCTCCTCCTCCTCGCAATTGTTGTTTCCTCCAGGCTTTGGGGGGGGGGGGCGGCAGGGGCAGGGGTGGGCTCATGGTTTTCCCCCTCTCACTCCCGATCGTCCTGATCCCGGCCTCTCTTCCCTGGGGGTTAGGGATATCCCGAGCTCCAATCACTCCAATCCTTCCTCCGTGCGGTCAGCCATCGTAACGGTTGGCATCTCTCCCAAGGGTACCCCTGCATCTTTGCCCCGTCAGCCCATCCTTAGCGACTTTCGATTGCCAGCCTCGTTCGATGAACGCTAACATGGGCCTCCAAGGTCCTTGTATCCTTACCGCGCCTCCTTCTGATCGGAGGTTGGGAGGTGAGATCGCAGTGAAGCGGAGACCCCCCACTGGGAAATCGGTTTCGGCTTCGTGCTCGTGTCGTGCGTGCGGGCGAGGCGAAGCTGCGCGTGATACTCCTGTAGCTAGGCCGAAGTAGGAGCGGAAGTCCGTTCCCGTCCGCCAGTGGCTGGGAGGTGTCCCAGTTGGGCCGGGCGGTGTCCCGGGTGTCAGTAGGAGCGGAAGTCCGTTTCCCGTCCGCCGGCGTCCGCCGGTGGCCGGGAGGTGTCCCAGTTGGGCCGGGCGGTGTCCCGGGTGTCCCGGGCGTTCCGGCGCTAACGCATGTCGCTAATTTCAACATTAATTTGTTTCGGCGCCTGCGGCGGGCTTTCTTATCCAATCCAGTTTATCTGATCCAACCCATCTTGTCCAATCCAATCCATCTTATCTTATGCAACCCATCTTGTCCCATCTTATCTCTTGACACCCGATCCAATCCACCCAACCCAATCCATCAATTGATTTGTTTCGGCGCCTGCGGCGGGCCAATCCAATCCATATTATCTTATCCTATCCATTTCTTCCAATCCAACCTATCTTATCTTACCCAATCCATCTTATCCCATCTAATCCAATCCACCCAACCCAATCCATCAATTCATTTGTTTCGGCGCCTGCGGCGGGCTTTCTCATCCAATCCAGCTTATCTTCTCCAATCCATCTTGTCCAATCCAATCCATCTTACCTGATCCAGCCCATATTGTCCCATCTCATCCTATCCCACCCAATCCAATCCATCCAACCCAATCCATCAATTCATTCCTTTCTGCGTCTGCGGCGGGCCAATCCAATCCATATTATCTTATCCAACCCATCCCTTCCGATCCAACCCATCTTATCTGACTCAATCCATCTTATCCCATCCAATCCAATCCACCCAACCCAATCACCCACATCATTTTTTATGAGAGATGAGATCAAGGTGACAGGCTGGATGTCAGTCAGGGTGGGCATTTGATCTCAATCCCCCCCAACCTCCTTCTCGCCCGCAGGGCGGTCGTATAGGTACGGGTTGACTGTATCCTGCCACCCCTCCAAGCTCCAATATCCATGCCAACCCTCGTGCCTCATTCCAGCGACTCTTCCTCGTCGTCGTCCGCCTCCGGTTTTCGGTGTGGGGGGGCCTTGATGCCATGCTTCATTGCAGGCACTGCTCGGCCCTCCAGACGTTGGCCCTCCAGTGGGTCCCAGGCGTCTGTAACTTGCCAAAGGCGTGGACGGATTCGCTCGAGGGTGGGGACTCATGGCTCAGCCTGCTGATTCTCCGGGGGCCGAAATGGGGCAGTGATCGGGACATCGCTGCTGCTGCCTGCATGGACGCCTTCCTGAAGGCGCACGCCCACCATCGTCTCGGTACTACCTTCCATGCCCGTCTGAGTAGTTTGCCAGAAGATATTAGAAGGTTGCCACTGTTTCGAGTATCCCTCGGCCGCGGGATTGAGGCGAGTTGTCCTAACGCTGCTTGTCTGTCCCCCTTTGCCCTGTGTAGGTTCCCCGCCGTCCTCGTCTCTCTGCCTGGCCTCCCGCTCACTCTTGCTGTGTCGGTACTCTCCTGCTTGCCCGCCTGCTTCCTGGATCCTGTCCTGGAGGCGATGCGCCAGGCTGGCCGATGCCCTATCCGTAGAGGAACGCCTCTCGCGCGGCAGCGTCGGCAGTGCCAGAAGGTAGAGCACTTTCGTTCACGTTGAGCTCGTCCTGTCGGCGTCGTCCTCGTGGCCTCCCGTTGGCTTGCCTTTGCCTCCGTGCCTGCGAGTGGGTCCTCTTGCATCAGTGGGACCCTGTGTTCCAAGCGGGTCGGTGGGCCCGCGCGCCATGTACACCCCCCCACCCTCAAGTGTGACGTTGGTGAGATTGTATTGCATGTCGGCGGCGAGCGAGGGGGGGAAGTGAGAAGGGGCGGGCTTTCTCAGAAGTCTCGTAAGTCCCTGGGCCTTCTGAGAAGTGTTCTAAGCCTTCCCCGAAAACAGAAAACACCTCTCAGAAGGCGCGAGGGCTTCTGAGACGTCCCGCCGCCTTCTGAAAAAGGGCTTCTCCTACTCACTTCCCCCTCTCGCTCGCCGCCGAGCATTGCAGCGTTCTTGGTGTATTGGGCCTCGGGCCCCTTACATAATCTTAGCTGGACTTGTGTTTGTTGTTCCCCCCTGTCTCTCTCTCTTTCTTCCCCTTCCGCCCCCGCTTTGCCGCGCCCGCCTTCTCTTGGACACGACGGGACCTCCGCGGCGCCCGCCCCGCTGCCGTTTCCGTGTTTTCCAGCCGAACCTTTGTCGCCACGTTCTGGAGGGGAAGTCGCCGCGAGGGTGGCGCCCTCAGGCGGCCTGGCACCCGATCTGCCAGCGCGGTGCTTCTCCGTGGGGTGTCCCTTGCCTCCCCTCCCGCCCGCGAGGCTCTCGTTGAAGTGCCCGGCGCCTCCTTTGTGAGGAGGTCTCTTCTCTTGTGCGCGAGGCCTCGTGAAAGTACGAGCCTGCACGGCAGGAGAGGGAGGGAGAGCGGCTGGTGGTTCCTGGTGTTCTCGTCTTTCTCTGGGGTTCCGCCCCCCGCGTTCTGTCCCCTGTGTACCCCCCTGCCGCCGCTGCTTCGTCGCTGATGCTGCTGCGTGCTCCCCCTCCTGCGTGCCCCCCCGCTGCTGCTCCGCGGCGATGGCGCCGCTGGTGCTGCTGCTGCTGCTGGTTTGTGGGGGGGCTCTTGGCTCTTCGCCTGGCGCTGGGCCGTCGGCGGGCCTTCTGGGACGGTGAGTGTTGCGCTCCTCGCCACTGGCGCGCCAGGGATGCACCGGCCGTTGCACCAGAGTGCCCTGCCGCTCCGCCCGCCGCCCCTCTTGCTGCTCTCTGCGCCCCGATCAGGCGCGCGCCCGCCTGGCGGCGCGCCCTGACAAGGACTACGGACTATGGAACGCTGTGTGTGCGCGCGCGCTGCGGTGGAAAGAGCTCCTCCTCCTCCTCCTCCTCATCCACTTCCTCTTTCTCTTCCTTCTCCTCTTCCTCGTCTCTTCCTTTTCCTCTTAGTTTTCTTCTTCTTCCTCCTCCTCCTCCTCCTCTTCCTCCCCCCTGTTCCCTTTTGCCTCCTGCCGCTCACAATCGGCGAACGTATCCATAGCCACCTCCCCCCGCGGTCTGGATTACGGGACGCGTTCCCGTGGAGACGCGGTGGCATGGATGCGTTCCGCGCGGGGCGTCCTCGAGAAGACGCTCCGCCTTTTGACAGGGTCGCGGCCCAAGGGGGGCCGGCCCGCGATGCCGTCGATACGGACACGGCTCCCGCCCGCTATTTTCGATCATCCATGTTTGCGGCACCCGCGACGTGTAGATGTGATCGCGTGGCCGCGTCCTCCCCGTCATTTCCCAAACAAGAGCGGAAACACGACCGTCAATCTTCCAGCATCCCGTCCGCCCCTCTGCCTCCTCTGCCCCCGCCTCCTCCCCGTTGCCTGGCATCGGCCTGCATGGACAGTTCGAAGGCTCGCAAGAGCGGACGGGGTTCTGCCCAGGGCACAGCAGTCCCTTTGTTTTAGGGAGGAAACACCATCCGGACCCGACAATCGGCGTTCACCAAGCGGCCATGAGCGCTCACTAGACAGCCCTGCCTTGTTTGAATCCTTCTTTGGGTGCGTTTGCTAAACGGCTTGGCGTGTCGGGGTGATCACTATGGGGGGGGTCTTTTCCGTTCTCTATTGCGCAGCATCAGCTCCACTGCTGGAGGGGCACGGGCCCTTTGTGTTCCCGCTCATGCCTGACGCGGATGCACGCTTACCCCGACGTGCGTGGCATGGGGCCCACGCCTCGAGGGGCTTGCGTTGGTGGAAGGAGGACTCACGCCCCAGCCTGTATACACAGCCGTGTCTGTGCAACTATCGTTCGTTATCCCTATACACATACATATGCATATATATATATATATATATATATATATATACACACCCATGTACATGTAGACACATGTGTTATATATACACCTTTCTAGTACCCCTGTTTTCTCCGATGTACTTGGAATGCTTCATTTTTGTTGTTCCCCCCTACTTGCCGCCGCCGTGTGAGTCGTTGTTGCGGTTTCGCCGCGCTTCGACGCGTGCGCGACGCCAGTGCGGGCGTTCAAGGTTGAACACCATGTGTGGGTTCCTGCTTCGGGCCCCGGGGCCCACAGGAAACGACAAACATCCTAATCGACAGTTTCTGTGGAAATCCACGGCGACGACGAAGATGACGGCGACGGCGACGACGAACGGGGCAGGCGAGGACGGGGACGAGGACGAGGACAAGGAGGAGGAGGAGGAGGAGGAGGGAGGAGGAGGAGGAGGAGGAGGGAGGAGGGAGGAGTGGAGGAGGAGGAGGAGGAGGAGAGGAGGAGGAGGAGGAGGAGGAGGAGGAGGGCGGACGAAAAGGAGGAGGACGAGGAGGAGGTGGAGGGGGACGATGGGGAGGAGGAGGAGGAGGGGGACGAGGAGGAGGAGGAGGGGAGGAGAGGAGGGAGGAGGAGGAGGAGGAGGAGGAGAGGAGGAGGAGGGAGGTGGAGGAGGAGGAGACGTCGTCCCGCGGGCCTCCCGCGAGGCTCGCCTCCGCCGAGTCGCGCGTCTCGCGGCGGCGAGGCGCGCCCCCCCCCCCCCCGTGCCCCTGACCGCCCCCGCCCACCCACCTAGACCCCCCACCCCTTGCCTGAAACATCGAGGAGTTCCTCCTCCTCCTCCTCCTCCTCGTCCTCCTCCTTCGCCTCCGCCTCCTTATCCTCCTCCTCCTCCTCCTCCTCCTCCTCCTCCTCCTCCTCCTCATCATCATCATCATCATCATCATCATCATCATCATCATCATCATCATCCTCATCGTCCCCCTCCTCCTCCTCCTCTTCCTCCTGTTCCTCCTCCTCCTTCCCCTCCCTCCTCCATCTCCTCCTCCGCCTCCTCCTCTTCCCCATCGACCCTCTTCGTCCTCCTCCATTTCCTCATCCACCGCCTCCTTTTCCACCTCCTCCTCCTCCTCCACCTTCTTCGGCGGCGCGCTGAGGGGGCAGGGAGAGAGCAAACGAGAGAGAAAGGCCTTCAGATCCGGGCGTTTCAGTTTTGCCCCACCCAGAGATTGCGCCGGTTTTCGGGTTCCGGGAGCACCCCAGATCGATCCAGGTCGAAAAACGTTGCAGAAAACAGTGGGTCTAGGGCTCCGGTCGTGAGCCGAGCCGCTTTTTCGCTGCAGTTGTTTCGCGACGTCGAGCCGCAGCGCGCGTTCGCGTGCGCCCCGCTGGGCTTCGCTCCAAGTTGGGCCGGGAGCAAAACCGTGCGCGGCAAGATCCCAGGGCGGGCGGTCTTGGCGTGTTGCCGAGGGAGGGGCGCACGGCTGATGCAAAGACCACGGCGGGCAGCCGCGGAGCAGTGTTGCTGTGCAGCGGGCCACGGGAAGCGAGGAGCCGACACCACATAGTGCAAAAGTGTCGCCGTGCCTCAAAAAATGTGCCTTCAAACGTGCGCGCGCGTGTGTATGTGTGTGCGTGTGTGTGTGTGTGTGTGTGGATGTGTGTGTGTGTGGTTCTAGGCCTTTTGGCTGTTGCTGGTAACTCTCAACTACAGGCAGAGCTGGACGACAACGACAAGCCCACCATCACGGAAAAAAATATTTGGAGCAGATTATCGAGCTTTCCAAGAAGGCGGGCGACACCAGTGCATCGGCCAAGTTTCAAAAAACAATTACAAGAGCTGCGTAAAGGCCAAGTCGAACCCTCCCTCCAGACCGGAATGTCCAAGTGCCGTCAGTGAGTCACACAGTTGGAGATTACTTTGGAGGCAAAGCTATCCAAATTGGACATGTGTGCGTGTTGGTACCATACGCAGCAGGCTGCAGTGCAGGAGATCTCGGACCGTCTGGCCGCAGCAGATCGTGATCATCAGTTGCTTGTCGCGCAGCTGGCGCAGACTGGAGGCCCGACGACATCGCAACCAGAGAAGATCAACATCAAGGATGTGGTTGACGGCTCGATGCTTTCTTACTGATGTGGATTCGTATCTTCATGTGGACGATGATAAGTTTGTTTTGTTTGCAGAGGGTCGTGAGAGCATCGAGAAACGCAAGACGGCGCTGCATAGTCAAATTCAACAGATTGCCCAAAGGTCTTTTCGGAGGAGCTGTCAAACAAATGCAGAACATCGAGGATGAACATGCCAAGCACGTGCAACTATTGGATAAGAAAAAAAGAAAAGAAAGGGACCAGACGGTGAGGTTGCAGCACCAGCCCGCGACCCAGACGCCTTCCTCAAGTTCAGCGCCAGCAGCATGCGAGAAGAAGGTGTCCTTCGAGGGAAGGGCGTCCAGCGCTCCAGCGACTGGCAGCACTGCGTCTCCTGATGTGCGTGAGCGGGCCCGTGCTGCAGGCAGCAAGACCCTTGGAGCCACGGGGCCCAAGTCAGATAATGTTTTGAATCCCCTGTTGTCGCGTCGTGTGACGTGGTGTGGGTGGGTGGGGGGGGGGGGGGGGGGGGGGGGCGTGCATGATTTTTTTAAGAGCGGGCTCCAAGGTGTGGTATAGCCATTTTCGGGACCGCCTGGCATGCTCCCTGGCCAGCGCCCCAGGCCTGCAGGCCAGGCCCTCGGGAAACCACTTCTAGCTCCCAGGGCCCTGCGACCCTTTCTCACCTTTCAACTTTTTAGAGACACTCCCCGACCCTGGAGAGATCCCCTTCTCTACGATTGTGGAAATCGGTAGCTGCGCGTCATGGGGGTCTTTCCAGCGATGGCCACCACGCACGGGGGCGAATCTCATACTGTTTCAAGAGCACCATCTTCGGCCAGGAGACGAGTTAGATGGAGCTACATCTTGGGCCCAGGCTCGCGGCTGGAAAGCCCTCCTCGCTCTTGCCCGTCCGCCCCCCCACCGGCGGCGCGCGCGGCGTGGCGGGGGTCCTCAGTGGGAGCGCCCTGGGTTTAAGAACCACGTCTTGCGCCCAGGTCGGCTCTCAGGGGCCATGCTCGACATCCCAGGAGGTGACAGTTGTTGCATGTGTTCTGTCTACTTGCGCCACCTGCAGGGCCTCTCAGATGCGAGTCTGGTTATCCTCTCGCACGCAGCCACGGCGCTCGACGCGCGGTGGGAGCTCTGCGTACCCGGAGGCGGTTTTAACCTTTCGCCGCAGCAGTTGGGCGACGCGACGCTCGACTCCTGCGCGAGAGGCCGCGCGCTTTATCCGATCGATGCGGAAAGCGCGCGTGCCGCCGCGGGGGGGGGGGGGGGGGGGGGCGAAGATGCTGGACTTTTTGTTTCGGATGGTTCGGCTCAGGGCATTAAAACCGCCGAGACCATCCGCGCGTCCAGCAGAGCCCCCCGACTCTCCAGTCAAGCTTGCGTTTTACCCTCGGTTGGCCCAGCTTTACGCCTTGAAGCTTAGACGCCCCCCTCCTGTGCCGATTCCGCGGGGCCCGCCCCGAAACCGCCCACCTGGTGCGATGTTTTGGGCGGGCCGCAGGTGCTCGCAGATGTCGCGCAAACTGGGGATGGCGTTCTCGCCCAGCGAAAGCTCAACCAGTTGTGCAAGAAGTGGGCCAATTTCTCGGAGAAAGAACTCGTTGGCGCCACGGGCGCCATCCTGCCATGCACAGGGGCGCGGGGCGAGGCGCCACAGCTTCACTGGGTGCCATTTCTCGATCAGGATCGTCGGCCACCCCCCAGGCACCTTGAATGTTATGCTCTGAAATGGATGTCTACGAAAGTCAAGATGCCTATTACTTGTCTGGAAGAATACCAGCGACATCAGGCCGACGTCCTCCGAGATGTCACGCAGGGCCCCCCCGAATTGTTACATCGAGCGATTGCGCAGCAGGAGCGGGGGTGCAGAGCCATCCTGCGCGTCAGCAAGCGTGTGGCAGAGGGTAATCTAGACCATCTGATCATACCTGCGGAGCTGGTACAGCCTGAGCCTTCACGGGTTCAGGGCCCCTCCCACGAGCCCGCTTTGGTTTCCACGTCGGCGGGCGCCCCAGTCGCCACCGCGCCTGCGGGTGCCCATGGCAGTGCTGCGAATGGAGCGTCGGCGAGTTCGGTATCACCTGTCCATGTGCCGGCCCGCGCCGCGGGCGCCGAGGTCGACGGGGTCGGGGGTGACCCCCGCGGGCCCGCCGTGCCAGAGCTAGCGCAGCCCCCGGGGCCACTTGGCGGCGGCCCACGCGGCGGCGACGCTGCTCGGCGCTGTCAGTCGGGGGACACAGACGCAGGCTCCGGCGCCAACGACATCACCACAGATGAAGCCGACCGCGCGTTCCACGGCAGCGACCCTGGAGCTTTATCCTCGTCCCCACCATTCTGCCGCATCGGTCTATCGAAATCAGGCAGTGGTCAGGAACTTTGCGACGTGCCCTTTCGGACCACGATGGGCGGTGAGTAGGGCCCGAATTCAGATGCCCCTGATGAAGAATACAATGCAGCACCTACGTCAGCGGCGAGAGCTCAGATCTCCCTTGGGAATTTCTTGAGTTACTGGATGTTGCACTGGCGACAGCGGGGGCTATTGCTCAGCGGCAAGCTCTTGAGGGATGGAGATCATGGCTATTGCACCGTGTCGAGCTGGGGGCTATGCACCGTGTCGAGCAGGGGGCTAAGCAGGCCCACCGAGCTGCGCGCGGATTCACACCATGGGCGCCTACTACCACGTTCAACGACGCGGGCAAGATAGTTGCGGACCCTCAGGCTCTGCTGGATGCGGGATATCCCCGATTCACCAGTCTGTGGAGTGCCGAGTTCAGTGCGCCCCCCCCCCCCACCCCACCCCACACAGTGACCTTTGAACCACAGACAGCACTGGATCATCCCACGCCCGATGATATCAGAGGTGCGAGCAGGAAGCTCATGAGGCACACGGCCACGTCCATGGACGATTTCCACATGCGTCACTACTGGCAACTGTCAGACGGATCGCTCCGCGTGTTGGCCAGCTTATTTTGCTCGATGGAAGCCCCCAGCTTGGTTCCAGCTCAAGTTAGTGCAGTCGCGCTTGCTCGATTGGCCAAGGCCACTGGCGGCTCCCGTCCGATTGGCGCGCTCTGTATTATATATCGGATATGGGGTAAAGCCAGAAGGAGGGTCGCATTCCATTCGGAGGGAAAGAACCCGAGGCCTTTTTGGTTGCTGCGAAGTTTTCGCGCAGCACAGGCGTGGTCTGGCGCCAGACGGTTCGCGCCGAGGCAGAAGTCATCCGAGGGCGGACCTCGACTACGCTCTCCGGGGCCTTTACAAGTGCTCCGGTCTAGTCAATGTATCGTTGCTTTGAGACCGATGTCGTGCCTGCGGGCTCTCTCATGCACTTGCTGGCCTTGCTATTGCCTTCTACCGATCGGCTAGATTCGTTGCCATGGGGGGGGGGGGGGGGGGGGGGGGGGGGGGGGGGGGGGGGGGGGCGGGGTGCTCATCTCAGGACCAGCCTTCGCCAATTTCGGCATCATTGCTGGCTGTGATTTCGCTACTGCGCTCTTCCGAGTCTCCATCGTCGAACCTCTAGACAAGCTCGAACTACCCGCGCAAGTGTCTCTCGACATCTTCGTCGATGATTGCGAAACCAGTGCTGCAGAGCCCACCTCGGGAGTTCTTTTTGATGTATCCAGGTCCGCCATGGACTCGGAGCAGTTGATTGTGCGCGACCTAGGCAGCAACATGTCAGAAGACAGGGCGCGCCTGGTTTCTTCCGACAAGCACGTCTTCAGTGTCTTGCGCAATCGCATATGGGTTCTTGGCTGGACGCCAAGTCGTTTCTTCTGCAGCCAACTTAGGGATTGACCACGCGAGTGGCAGGCCCAGACGGGCCAAGGCCTGCTCGCGCGTTTTCGAGCTTCGGTCTTCCACCTTGAGAAAACCAGAAGGCTGCATCAGTTTCGAAAGGCCTTCGGACGACACACCAGGAAGTTGTTAATCACGGGACCACTCCCTGGGTACTACTACGGGGCCGAAATTCATGGAATTTCGGACTACGAGTGGACCAGGGCCCGCACGTCCAATGGCGGATGCATTTGTCCGAAGTCTGGGTCCAGGTCCCTCACGTCTGCGTTGATCCTGGATCGAGATCCTACTTTCTACGGGCCAGTGGCCCCTATCCTTGTGTACGCCAAGGAAGTTTGGGCCCTTCGTCTCAGAAGCTACCAGCTCACCCTGTCCCGGGCCGAGATCCGCGAGGCCTGGGGGCGTGCGTTTTGGAACCCTGGGCCGCTTTCCTGGAAGAAAGTTCCGGGGCCCATAGGAGCCCTCAAGCTCAGTCTCACTAGGATAGTTTGGTACATGCCCTCGTTCACTACGATTGTGGACCACAAGGCGGTGGAGCACCCGCTGGCGCTCATCTCGCCAGCCCTTTTGAAGCCGCACCCGCGCCTGGCCGTCCAAGCATACCACGAGAGCAGATCAGGTGCCCAGCTGCTGAGCCATCTACCGCAACTTTTTCGCGTGTGTCATGATCAGGTGTGTGCCACGTTGCAGAACAAGAGGTTCAGCCTGCGTCGTAAAGGTCCCATCTCGGTGGTATTCTGCAATGCGGTTTGGACAAGCGAGAGCAACTGCAGCTGGCAACCAGCTGCCAGATTCTTTGTGCCCGCTAGGCGGGGTTGCTGAAGATAGCATTACCCATCGTCTGTGGCACTGCCCGACCTGCGAAGATCAGAAAAGAGGCGCGCTGGGTAAGTATAACCACATTCGACCCCCTCCAGAACCCTCGGAACCGAACGGTCCTGCTGAGTATGTATTGTTTTCCCGTGGGCTGTATGTACGCCCAAGAGATTTGTTCCCGAGGCCTGCTGCTGACGGCGTTGACAATATGCTGCAGATCCACTGGTGCCATGACCGCAACAGTACTTCTACGAGCCTCCATGGGCACAGATTCGTCGATGGATCTTGTTCTAGGGAAGTCTCTCAGGAACTATCCAGGGCGGGTTGGGCTGCTATCCTCTAGGAGGGCCAAGGAAACCATCTAGCCGCAATATCGGGACCTCTGCTAGACGTTTTCCCTCAGACCCTTCAGGCTGCCGAGTTTGCGGCCTACTGTTCGGCGGCCCAGTGCAGGGCCGAGGGGCCCCCTATATACTCGGATTGTTTGGACGTAGTTTGGCAAGCTTCGGAGCGCATGATGGCCGAGCTCTCCTATCGTCACCCGTGCGCTGGGTTTTTGCTCCAAAGCGGTGGGTCAGGCTTCGGGCGACATCGTCAAGGTCAAAGGGCACCAGCTTGACCGACCCGGTTTAACTGATGAGCCGAAGTTTCACAAGCTTGGAAATGATCTAGCTGACGCTGCCGCCCGACAGGCCACCGCGTGTCACCCCGAGCCCTCGCAGGCTGAGCGCGACAGACTCTACAGGCAGCAGCTCGTCTCTAGGCTTGTTTGTTTGCTCGCTGCCGATGTCATGCCAATGCTTCCTAGGCTTGATTTGAATGACGCAGTGCGGCTCAAGCCGCAGCCCACGGCCAAAACACCATCAGGTCTTCGCCACGAGTGGCATTGGGAAGGCAGGTTCTGGTTGTGCTCAGGCTGCTGGCGATCCTCTCGTAACATATGTCGGCCCATCGGGGGATACTACCGCGGTGAGCCGATCATCAAAGGATTTGCTGGTGATTTGCTGCGCGATGCTGGACGCCAACCGATCGTGTTTGATTATTGCGACGGAGAAAGGTTACTTTTAGATTGTTTGAAGTGTAAGTACTATACGTGCGGGGGGGTGACCACAACCTTCGGAAGAGATGCGTGGCCCCCCCCCCCAAGAATGACGAGCCAGCCGACCACGGCAGACGTCACATCTGGTCGCGCAGCATTCAACGCAAGCGCCCGAAAATGGCAGTTTGATTAACGAAGCGGTGGGCTATAGTAGTTCATCGTTCGGGGGAGGTCCTCTTTTCGCCCCTCCTGCGCGCAGACAGCAGATGCGCGTATCGAGGATGGCCTGTGGTGGTGTGTGTGTGCGTGGTGGAGTCCAAAAGCTCCTCAACCTCCTCCTCCCCCTCCTCCTCTTCCGCCTCCTCCTCCTCCTCCTCCTCCTCCTCCTCCTCCTCCTCCTCCCCCTCCTCCCCCTCCCTCTCCCCCTCCATCTCCCCCTCCCCCTCCCCCTGCCCCTGCTTGCTCCCCCTCTTTTCGTCCGACCCGAGTAGCGGGGGTGGCCAGGCTGGTGCGGCTCCGCCGGATCCGCGTCCACCAGGGAACCCTCGTCCGCCGCACATGCCGCGTTCCGAGCGGGATCGGTGCGCACGGCTGCCTTGTCCTAGAGTTGTATGTTCTTGTTCTTGCTGCGCGCCCTGCGTGAAACTTGCAGGCCGCCGCGCCGAAGGCGGTTTCGGTCTCTGCATATTTCGGAGCACGCGCTATATCAGGGTGCTGCGTTCGGCTGACCAGTTGCGATATGTGGGGATTTACTGGGGGCGTCGAGTTGCAGCCAAGGTGTGCGGTGTGGCATGATGTGCCAATGTCACGACGTCGATGAAGAATGTTTGTGTGACGCTGTCGTCGCCCGCCCCTCTTTTCCGACTCTACTTGCTGTTTCCTCAGTGGTATTTGCATTGGTGTCCGCAGTCCTACCGCCCCCCTCCCCAGGCGAACATCTCTTCGATTCTGGCGTTTGTTGGCATTGCCGGATAGTTTTCAATGCGTTTTCGATTGGTAGTTTTTTTCTGGCTTGTTCGATTGGTAGATTTGTTGTTTTTTCATGGAAGCATTTTGCCGAAATCTAAGCACCAATCCGCCAGAGCCGGTTTCGCGCCTCATTGGCAGATATTTTGAGGGTGCTTTCTCTGGCCTGCGCTGTCAGGGTCCGCCCGCCTATTCAGAGTGGCTTCGCGTGGGGCGCCGTACCCCATAGCTCTTCCGACATAGTAGTACGACCCCTCGGAACCCTTAGAGGCAGTGCAGAGCACTGCGCCTTCGTTCTGCCTCGCCTCGCCGTAGACAGCCCGCCCGCGCTGGCACCTTGAAAGCCGCAGGTCCGCATGAATCTCGCGTGTGCGTTTTTGCACTGTGCCAGCGAAGCGCCTTCCCAGATGCACTTCAGCCTCCCAATCGTGCCGCTTTTTTCCTACCATCTGAACGCTGCGAGCCCCGATGCTCAGAGTCTAGCCGACGACGACGCGCGCGACGACGACGACGACGACGACGCGCGCGACGACGACGACGACGACGACGACGACGACGACGACGACGACGACGACGACGACGACGACGACGACGACGACGACGACCGCGCGAGGCTTCCTGGTGTCCCTGGCGTGCTTCGACGTCCTCGGCGTGCGCTCGCACCCCGAGGCGCGGCTGCGGCCCTCTCGTCGCCCCGCCGCCGTCGCCCGTCGCGGTCAGCGTCGTCGTCGTCGTCGTCGTCGTGGTCAGCGTCGTGGTCGTCGCCGTCATCGTCTTCGTCGTCGTCGTCGTCCTCGTCGTCGTCCTCGTCGTCATTTGGTGTCGTCGCCGCCGCCGCCGCCGTCGTCGCGGTCGTCGTCGTCGTCGTCGCTACGTCGCCGCCGTCGCCGCCGTCGCCGCCGTCGTCGTCGTGGCAGCGCCGCTGTCGTTGCCATCTGGGGTCACGCCCTCGTCGTCGTGGGGGCCCTCGGCGGCGGAGGCGTCCCGAGGCGCTGCCGGCGCCCCTTGTCGTTGTGGCCGCTTCCGCCGCCGCCGTTGTCACGTCGTTACGTCGTTGTCGTCGTCGTCGTTACGTCGCCGTCTCGGTCGTCGTCTTCGCTACGTCGTCGTCGTCGTAGTAGTTCTCGTCGTCGTCGTAGTCGTCGTCGTCTTCGTCGTCGTCGCTACAACGTCGTCGCTACGTCGTCGTCGTCGCAACGTCGTCGTCGTCGTCGCTGTTGAAGTCGACGTCAAGTAATCGTCGAGTCGTCGTCGTCGTCGTCGCAGTTGATGTCGACGTCGAGTCGTCGTGGTCAATATCGTCGTCGTTGTTGATGTCGACGTCGAGTCGTCGTCGTCGTCTTCGTCGTCGTCGCTACGTCGTCGTCGCTATGTCGTCGTCGCTATGTCGTCGTCGTTGATGTGGGCATCGAGTCGTCGTCGTCGTCGTGATCGTTGTCGTTGATGTCGTCGACGTCGACGTCTAGTCGATGTCGTCGGTTTACTCGTCGTTGTCGCTACGTCGTCCTCGCTACGTCGTCGTCGAATCGTCGTCGTCGAATCGTCGTCGTCGAAGTTAAGGTCGCTGTCGACGTCGAGTCGTCGTCGTCGCCGTCGTTGTTGACGTCGACGTCGACGTCGAGTCGTCGTCGCTACGTCGTCGTCGCTACGTCGTCGTCGTCGTCGTCGTCGTCGTCGTTGTTGACGTCGACGTCTAGTCGTGGTGGTCTTCGTCGTCGTCGTTTCTACGTCGTCGTCGCTTTTCGTCGCCGTCGTCTTTGTTGTCGTCGCCGTCGTCGTCGTCGTCATCTTCGTCGTCGTCTTTACTGTTGACGGCGATTTCGACGTCGACGTCGAGTCGTGGTCTTCTTCGTCGTCGTCGCTGATGACGTCGACGTCGATGTCGACGTCGATGTCGTCGTCTTCGTCGTCGTCGTCGTCATCGTCATCGTCGCCGTCGTCGTCGCCCGTTGCAGCAGCTCCCCCGAGGCGCTGCCGGCGCTGCTGTCGCACCCCGAGGCCGCCGCCCCGTCGCCGCCGCTGCGCTTGGGTTCTGGGCGGGGGCGTGGGCGTGCGAGGCCCGCGGGGTCGGGGCCGGAAAGGCGAGGCTGGCCTCCTCCTCCTCCTCCTCGTCCTCCTCCTCCTCCTCCTGCTCCTCCTCCTCCTCCTCCTCTCCTCCTCCTCCTCCTCCTCCTCCCTCCTCCTCCTCCTCCTCCTCCTCCTCCTCCTCCTCCTCCTCCTCCTCCTCCTCCTCCTCCTCCTCCCAGCAGGGTGCTCCCGACCGAAGGGCTTGTACCGCCCGAGGCCGCCAGGGGCCACATCCTGTACAGGGCCCGGGGGAGGGGAGTCGGCCCGGCCGGCCCCTGCAGCACCCCCCCCGCGGATGATGGGGGACGAAGACCAGGGGGATACGGAGATCGCGGTGAGGACCATGGCATCTCCCAGTTGTCGTGGCCCCCTTTTCTATCCTTTCTTTCAGCATGCATCGTGCTCCACCTTCACCCCGCCTCGTCCGCACACGTGCCTCCAGCCGTGATGCGCCAACCTCGGGTCGGCCGGAAAGGGGGGGAATTCGAGAGTACTTTGATTTTTGTTGGGGGCCAAGATCCTTCCTATCCTGGGCCTCTTCCTGGCCACTGGGGGGCCAGGAACCATTGGGAACGAGCACAATGAGAAATGAGCACGATCAGAGATGAACGACGTGCACGGTAAGCTCGCGTCGTGTTGACCGGGCGGCGGCCTCGCCGCCGGCGTTCAGCGTGGAACGCGGCCAGCGACCCGAAATCGGTCGGTGTCGAACGATCTGACGTTTCGGATACAGGTGGACCTTGCGAGGTGGAACGATCCACGCGGTGCCGCGAAGCAACGCCGGAGTCGTCACGACACGAACCTGCCGTACGAGATTGGCTCCAAGCAGCCGGTCTCGGCCCCGCCGCCCAGCGCTGTCCTCGACACGTTGGCGTTCCGTGGCGCCTGGGGGCCCCAGGAAAGTCAGCTACTCTGATTTGCTAATCCTCCCTTTGCGATCCCCCTTTCGTCTGACCCCTCCTTCCTGGCCCTCTTTTTTCGGCAAGCGAGCTGGCGGACAAAGTTTCGAGGTTCGAGTTTTTCTCCACCTGGCAGGCTGGGGTCGTTAGTTTTGAAGAACAGACCTCCCGACCCGTCCACCCTGGATACTGCGGCCGCCAGATCCCCAGGTCCCCGAGTGTCCCCGAGTGTCCCGCCTCGCACCGCTCTGCATATCGCGGCCGCCAGATCCCCAGGTCTCCCAAGTTTCCCCGAGCGTCCCGCCTCGCGCCGACTCGCGCCACTCTGCATACCGCGGCCGCCAGATTCCCAGGTCCCCCGAGTGTCCCCAAGTGTCCCGCCTCTCGCCACTCTGCACATCGCGGCTGCCAGATCCCTAGGTCCCGAGTGTCCACGAGTGTCCCGCCTCGTGCCACTATGCGTACCGCGGCCGCCAGATCCCCAGGTCTCCCAAGTGTCCCCGAGTGTCCTGCCTCGCGCCGACAAGTCATAAGTTGAAAGGGCGGTATTACAAAATAGCATAACATAGTACAGCACAACTATGGACAGACCATCTCATAATATCACACCACTTGGCATATGCATACAATGCCGTGACATAACACATCAGGACAGTGCAGTGCATACAATAGCACAGCATCGTAGCGTGGGACATTACGTACCAGGACAAATCAATCATAGCATAAGAAAGCAACGCAGCACTGATCATACCAAAACGAACCATGTCCCTGTTCCCCGTAATACGGCATAGCATATCATTGCACAGCGCAGCATAACCATAAATGAAATGACACATCGGAGCGCACATCATATAGCATGACAGAGCATGGCATACCATAACATGACATGTCATAACATACCATAACACACGATTACAACATACAACACACCAGAACACATCATAACCCTGCATATAAACATGGCAGGTCGCATCGCGGCACAGGTGACACATCATGGCATGACGGGGCGCGGCATGACGTTTCATACAATATCAGAACATTTCCCCGCATGATAGCACAAGCTTTGACATAATGGATTATGCAGAACAGGGCATCACACCCCACCGAATAATATGGCATAACGTACCATAAGATAACATGTCATGGCATAACCCACCATAACGTAATAGACCATGGCATCACACATCACACCACATAGCGTGCCATACCATGACTGACACTACCTTGGCAGGGCACGGCAAAACACAGCATCGCATAGCATAACATAGTATGCCATACAGCCATAACATAACAACGCATGCAATATCATAGCATGTCAGACCATAACATACCAGAACACACCAGAACGACGCACTCAATGACATCATGAAACGTACAGGGCATGGTATAGCACCACACATCATACCCAAAAAGGACAGGGCACGGAAGCATAGCGTAACAGAACAGGGCATCACGTTCCACAGATTATGCCATAACGTGACAAATAATCGCAGTTGTTTTATATCATGGCAAAGCGTTTCATCACAACGTAATTGATTGCACTACAATCTATTCCAGCGCGACGTGCGCGCCGAGGTCAGGCTGGTCACAGGAGCAAACATGCGATGCAGCGAACGATCGGACGACGTATCTATCGTGACAGGCGTCACGGCGTCACGCCGGCCCGTCGAGAACAGAACAGACATAGTAAGACCAGCATCGAATCGGCATAACATATCGAGTAGGGCACACCATAACCAGCGTCACATAGCGTAATTGTTGTACTACTGGTGCCCCTACGCCAACGATTTAGATGTAACATATTTCCCTATAACGTCATGACATATATTGTGACGAACTGAGAATACCTTAAGCAGCATCAGTGACAGAACAGACGTGACGTGTCATAGCCCGCCGGCGCCCGCTGCCCGCAGGTCGCGGAGCTGACCCTCGGGGTCTTGGCGGTGCTGGCGTGCGAGGCCGGTGGGTGCTCCGAAGGAAGGCGTCGGGCGCTTCGCCACACTGAGATCCAAGAACAGCGCACGACGGAAGGTCGTTGTTCAGATTCAGCCTCCGGGGGGCCCTCGCAAGGCCCCAGGACGGTCCAAAAAACACTCATGAAGAGGAGGAGGAGGAGGAGGAGAAGGAGGAGGACGACGAGGAGGAGGAGAAGCTGGTCCCCAAGAAGAAGGGACCCAGACCTCTGGGGGGGCACGCAGCGCAAGAAGCTCGCGAAGTCGGAGGTCCAGGGATTGGGAGGGGGATCTCGGGGTCTGCAGAAAAGGGCCCCCACAGGGGCCCCTTGGGGCCCCGAAGGTGCACGTCCCCCCCCCGTCGATTGCCCCCCCCGCCCCCCCCCCACCCACCCCACCCCCCCTCCCCCCCGTTCAGCGGGGGTGGACTGAACCCCCACCCTGACACGTCGATTAGTGAATTGTTCGTTTTCGGTTCTCGAGAGGGCGCCGCGGCCGTCATTTTCCAGGCTTGCGCCCGCCACTTTTGGGCCCGAGGTCGTTTTCACTAAACCACGTTTTGCTGAAGGGGATTCTGTCCATTCCCGAAGCAACGCCAGAAAGTAGAGATCTCCCGCCGTTTATGGGGGGGGGGGGGGGGGGGCAGGCCCCATGCCGGGATGAAAAAGCAGCATCTTGGGAAACACCCCGGGGTCCAGGAATTTGTTGTTTCCAGCAGGATTCCTTTCCCTCATGTCAGCAGGACGCAGCAGAGGACGAGTAAGTGGAGCAAGAATAGAACGAGTCGGCCAGGGAATGCATGAGTCAGGTGGCAGAGAAGAATTCCCAAGTATCGTTCCAGGCAGAAGGTGGTGACAGTTGGGAAAATTCTGCATTGGAGAATTGAGCCAGCAAATGGCATGTCGCGGGGCCGTCGGGGGAAGGAAAAGTGAGAGGAGGGAGGAGGAGGAGGAGGAGGAGGAGGAGGAGGAGGAGGAGGAGGAGGAGCTCGTTTGAAGCAGGAGGAGGAGCAGGAGAAGGAGGAGCAGGAGGAGCAGGAGGAGCAGGAGCAGGAGGAGCAGGAGGAGGAGGAGGAGAGGAAGAGCAGCAGGATGAGGACGAGCTTGTTTGAACCTGTTTCTGATTCAGAGGGGCCGTGCTGCACCCTCAATGCGGCGACGCGCCACCCCGAGACAGAGCCGAAGCCCCGCTCGACAGCGAACGGCCAGAGCAAGGGCACCCCGACTGGATTTTCCCCCTGCCCTCTTATAGGACTTCCGGGGGGTCTCTGGGGGGCTTCTAAGGGGGGTTCTTGGAGCTGATCTGGGATCGTTTGGAGGCGTATTTCGAGCAGTGGCGAAGCGTCCTGGCTTGCCTATGGGTCCACCAAATAATATTCTGTTCTAAGAACTCTTTCGGGTATGCACGAAACGTTATTAGAACATGTCCGGCTGATATTGATTTATTTTAACATATCGGGTCTATGTTCTAAGCGCCTTGCTTTCTTATTCGGACACCTTCGGGTTCTAAGAACGTTTCGTGGTAGGCCTTTGGGAATGCCGAGACGGTCGGTCCCTGCTCAAGTACTGGGTCATCTTGGGCCGTCCTTGTGTTTATCTTCGCTCGACGACGTTGGAGGCCGTATTGGAGACGTCCCTGGGCCGTCTCAGAGCCCTTGGGCCGTTGCAGGGCCGCCCTGGAGATCTCTTGGCCAGTGCTGGGGCCCTAGTGGTGCCCTCTTGGGCCCTCTTGGGCCGTCCTGGGGTCATCTTGGAGACCTCCTTGGGCTGCCACAGCCCCCGAGAAGGCGAGAGCGTCAACACCACTCAAAAGCCTCATGGCGATCAGTGGTGCTTGCTTCTTGGGGCCGCTGCGGGAGGGCTTGGAGCGGTCTCAGGCCGTACTGCGAGCCTCTTGGGCCGTCCTGAGGCTGGGCCTTCTTGCGCCATCCTGACCATGGGGGGGGGCCACTCGGCGGCCAGGGGCTCTCGGGCCTGGCCGCGCCGGAGATGTCGTTTGAGACCTCTGGCCCGCGTTGCCCAGGCGGGGCGGGGGGAGAAGCGCGGACGGACGAGGGAAAGTGGAGGTGGAGCGGGAAGGAGGAGGATCGGAGGCCCCCCCGCCCTGCCGAGTTGATCGGCGAAGTGCCCTGTTCCAGTTTTCGAGAGGGCGTTGTGGAGGAGGGAGGAACGACGTCGGCCTCCTCATCCCCCTCATCCTCATCCTCATCTTCCTCCTCCTCTTCTTCTTCCTCCTTCTCCTCTTCCTCCTCCTCCTCCTCCTCATCCTCATCCTCCTCCTCCTCCTCCCCTCCTCCTCCTCCTCTTCCTCCTCCTCCTCCTCCTCCTCCTCCTCCTCCTCCTCCTCCTCCTCCTCCTCCTCCTCCTCCTCCTCCTCCTCCTCCTCCTCCTCCCTCCTCCACAATGCGCTGGATCGCAATCGCCCTGTTCCCGTTCCATTTCTCCTCCATCTCCTCCTCCTCTTTGTCGAGGATCGCGGTTTGGGGGTGTTGCTGGCCTTCTCGTTGGTCTCCAGAGACTTCCAGGGACCCCTCGAGGGACCGCAGGGGACCTTTGGGTCCTGCTGGGACTTCCAGAGGACCTCTGGAGCCCCCCCCCCGGGTTAATTAGAGGCGGGGCCCTCCTCGTGCGAGCGCGCGGCCGCCCGCCGTCGCTCTTTGATGGGTGGAGCGGGGCAGAGTCGGATTCTTATTACTGGTCGTCAACCTCTGGAGACCCCTGGGCCTCATGGGGGGGCGATGAGTGGGGGGGAGGATGAGGGAGGAGGAGGGGGGAGGGAGGAGAAGGAGGAGGGAGAGAGGGAGCGACGGAGGAGGAGGAGGAGGGAGGAGATGGGAGGATAAGGGAGGGAGGGAGGGAGGGAGGGAAGGGGAGGGAGGAGGAAGAGGGCGACGAAATGTGATCCTCTCGCGTACCTTGGTGGCCTTGCAGGGGGGCCCTCTCGGGCCCAAAGGGGGCACGCAGGGCGAACGTGTCTCCGCCCACCACCTATCTCTCCCCCTCCTCCTTCTCCCCCTCCTCCTCCTCCTCCTCCTCCTCCTCCTCCTCCTCCTCCTCCTCCTCCTCTTCTCCTCCTCCTCCTTCTCCCCCCTCCTCCTCCTCCTCCTCCTCTTCCCCTCCTCTTCCTGCTGCTGCTGCTTCTCCCTCCTCCTCCTCCTCCTCCTCCTTCTCCCCCTCCTCCTCCTCCCTCTCCTCTCCACTCCTCCTCCTCCTCCTCCTCCTCTCCTCCTCCTCCTCCTCCTCCTCTCTCCTCCTCCTCCTCTCCTGCTGCTGCTGCTTCTCCTCCTCCTCCTCCTCCTCCTTCTCCTCCTCCTCCCCTCTCCCACCCACCCTTTCCTCCCCCCCTCCTCTCCCTTCCACGGTCCTTCTCCTCCACCTCCTCCTCTCCTCCTCCTCCTCCTCCTCCTCCTCCTCCTCCTCCTCCTCCTCCTCCTCCTCCTCCTCCTCCTCCTCCTCCTCCTCCACAATTACACCATATGAATACACTCTCCTCCATCCCCTGATGGCGTGCGGAAGATAGCGGGCACCCCTCCGCCCGCGTACTGTTTCTTCACACACACAGGATTTCCCGGAGTTGGGTTTTCTCTTGGTGTTTTTTTCAAAATGATGCTCTCGCCGAGGCGCGGGCTTCATTTTCGGGCTTCCGCTCGTTCCGAATCGTGCTCCCGCTGCAGCGCTGGCCTCATTTCCGTGCCTCCGCTCGTTCCGAATCGTGCTCCCGCTGCAGCGCTGGCCTCATTTCCGCGCTTCCGCTCGTCCCGAATCGTGCTCCCGCTGCAGCGCTGGCGTCATTTCCCGTGCCATGCCACGGCATGCAATGCAATGCTAGGTTGCGTTCCGTTGCGCGATGCCATGCCTTCAGCTGCAGCTGTCATATCCAGTGCGTAAGTGCCACGTCATGCTATGCCATGCTACGCTTCGATCTTCAACGCTATGCTATGCAATTTTATGTTCGGGGCCGCTGTGCGATGTCATGCTTTGCGTTGCAAAGCTTTGTGATGCAATTCTTCACTACGCCACGCCACGCCATGCTGTGACATACTACGCTTTGCGGTGCTCTTCTACGCCATGCCATGCCGTGCTCTACAATGCATCGCGTACCCTTTCGGGATCATTGCCCTGCTCAACATCCGACTGTGCGAGCAGAGAGGGGATCTACGCCATTGTAAGGGATGGGAGGGTGGGGTAGGATGTCAGATATGACGCGAGCGCACCTAGCTGGTCCTCCTCCTCCTCCTCCTCCTCCTCCTCCTCCTCCTCCTCCTCCTCCTCCTCACCCCTCCCCACGAATTTGGAAACGCCCAGCGCGCGGCAGGCAGTCGGCCGGAGCTACATCGTTGCGAACCTGGCCTGCGTGGAGAAGGTGGTCCAGCTGATCAAGGCACGGCCGCCCGACAGCTTGGGCCATGGGGCCTTGCGAGGTCGGGGGCGGGGGCCGCACAGCCTCGCCAGATCTGAGTACGGGCGCCGCGCCCCTGTCACACAGTTGCCGTCGGGTTTTTGCCCTCGAGAGGCTCATTGGTACTCCCTGGTGGGACTCTTCTGTGGCCATCTTTCACCGCCATTCGGACCCTGTAGCGAAACGCTATTGTGGAAAAAGGGCGGTCTTCGTCAAGGTAGCCCTTGCATCCTCGCCGTTTGGGCCCGCCCTTGACCCATCGTTTCGGCAAGCTTGAATTCTTGCTCTTGAGCCTGGCTGAATGCCAGGCCTTCTCTTATTCTTCTTGTGTTCTAGATCCGGCTCGTCTGGCCGGCAGGCCCGACATGATTCCGCTCTCTCATGAGGCATGGTAAGTTGATGATTGCGTTCGCGTCCGCCGTGGGTCTTTCTTGGGATCATCCCACTTCCTAGCCAGATGCCCATATGTGTGTTCCTCCGTCTTCCTCCTCCTCCTCATCCTGATCCTCTTCCTCCTCCTCATCTTCGTCCTCATCCTCCTCCTCCTCCTCCTCCTTCTCCTCCTTATCTCTCCCTGTCACTGCGCGATCGGTCTTCAGAAGAGCGTACGATTACGCGACTTTTTCGGCTGCAAGCTGGTCCCATAGTGTCCAGCCCGTTCAGACATCGAACTCTGTTCAGCGGCGTGCGTCGGCGTCTTTCTCCTCCCACCCCCTCCTTCCATCCCACTCCTCCGCCTCAACCTCTGAGCCCTTGGGGGTTTGGCACCCGTACCTATCCTCGTCCTACTTCTTATTCTTCCTTCTCCTCAACATCCGATTCCTTTTCCAGGACGAGCAGCGCGTGGGAGGGGGAGGAGGAGGAGGAGGCGGAGGAGGAGGAGGAGGAGGAGGAGGAGGATAAAGGGGAGGGAGGAGGAGGATGCTCCTGGAGGATGGGGAGGAGAAGGAGGAGGAGGAGAAGGAGGAGGAGGAGGATGAGGAGGAGGAGGAGGATCGGGAGGAGAAGGTTGGATAGGAGAGGTCACCATCAAGGCAAGAAGTTCTCAGGGAAACGGGTCCTAGACCGTGGGGCCTTCCCGATAACCGCTCCTTCATACCACCGCCACTCGAGGCGGGCCCGCCGAGCTCGGGGAAGCTGTGACAGGACCCCCGACGTCTCCTCCGGGACCCGGCTCCTCCGTTCTGAGGATCGGCGGATCGCGCCGAGTGGGACGGAGAGGCGGCAGGCCTTCTCGGATGTTTTGTTTTTTGTTTGTGTTGTTTGTTGCTTTGTTTTGTTTTCCCACCCCTCCTACACCCATGCCCACATCAAGCAATCCTCACGGCCATACCTGGTCGTGCTGTCGTCGGAATCACGCGTATATATCTGAGTGATTTGCGCCGAACAGGCGTGGCCTTCTCGGAAAGCGGAGGCCGCTCACCGGCCGTCCAGCTTTCTGAGCCTTCGGGGGGCCGCGAATTCGCTTCGATTCGATTCGATTCCCCAGACCCCCTCGCGCTGTAAACAAAATCACGACGGGAGTTTTGTTCGCTAATTTTCGGCCGCTCCGGGCCCTTCCCGGGCCTCGGGCCCGT